GGTTGCATTTATGTAAATGTATTGCTAATCCCATCCCTTATGCTAGATCGTAAGTGTAAGCTCCACAGGGGCAGAGATTTTTATCTGTTTTGTTCATGGATGTGTCCTCAGAGCCTAGAGCGAGGCCTGGCACACCGTAAGCATTCAATAAATGTCTACCGAATGAGTGACCTCCAACGTGTATGCCTATTTATCATTTGGCTTCACTTTACCCTACTTTATCTCCCATTCAATTCAATACAAAGAAACGTTTTTGAATACCTGTCGACTTTGTGTGAGGAACAGGGCCACTGGGGGATACAGAAGTGAATAAGATGCGGCCCCTGCCTTTAAGAGGATGGCCTCGTTGGGAAATAGGCACATAGCAACTTAGTTGATGATGAGACGACGTGTGTGCCGTGGAAGGGGCACAGGTACCGTGCTTGGAGGACAGAGGAAGAGGTCTTCAGTTCTGACGGAGGAGGCTCTGGGAAGGCCTCATGGGAGAGGAGAAGCTGGTGCACTAGTTTTCACAAGAACCCAGAGATGGTCAGGGGCAGGCATTGGGTCAGAGAGCAACAGGAGGTCTGTCCCTTCCTGCACCTGGGGCACATTGTCCTTGTCCAGACTTCCCTTTGTTATTTCCTCCCATCCACCCACCCCCACCCCCAATAATCAAAACCAAACTTTGCTCAATCCCCCCTGTTCTGGAAAAATCTGTTTCCAGTACACAACTCTGCTATTCCTAAACTCCATTAAGAGTTATTGTCTCTCCCATATACTTGACTGTCTTTTGCCATGTTCTCTAATTGTTATCTTAATGCTGTAAGAAAACAAGAGAAATTGGGTTTCTTTAAGTTCAAGGAATATCATATAACACTTCTTTGGAGTTCCCACTGGCCTAGGTCAGTGATTGTACATGGTAGATTCCTAGTTAAGCATTAACTAAATCGAGTGGTTTTTGAATTATAACGTGTCATGAGTTGAGTCTGAAACCTAAGTCTGTATCCTTTACCCTCTTCCCTAAAGGCTTCTTATCCAGACTTGTCCGGGCTCAGCCTGTCTGAGATACACTGTCTTAACTCAGATTCCATGCATGGGCCATATCCATGATGTGGGAAGCACTCCAGAAAAGTCAGGTTAACACACATGTAAGATCTTGTTATCACAGTGTGAAAACTGAGTCATTCGTGTTCCTCCCTGTGTTCCGATAATCACGAGTCAGTTAAAGCTTGTCTCTCAGAGTATTATCTAGGGGGAAAAACATTTCCCCATTTATTTAAAGGGTGTATTGATATAGTGAATACATTTTACACAATTTGCAAAAGATCCTTAGACCAGTCGCTCACTCAGAAAAAGAACTCAAGATATCTTGTCAGCCAGCTTGTTTTAGTTCAATACAGCCAAGACAGTACCACTGTTCTTTTGAAAGCTTTTTTCTTCACATCTATGTTGCCTTCTTTTATTTTATTTAAAAATATTTTTTAAACATCTTTATTGGAGTATAATTGCGTTACATTGTTGTGTTAGTTACTGCTGTATAACAAAGTGAATCAGCTATACATATACATATATCCCCATATCCCCCTCCCTCTTGTGTCTCCCTCCCACCCCTCTAGGTGGACACAAAGCACAGAGCTGATCTCTCTGTGCTATGCAGCTGCTTCCCACTAGCCATCTATTTTACATTTGGTCGCGTGTATATATGTCAGTGCCACTCTCTCACTTCATCTCAGCTTACGCTTCCCCCTCCCCGTGTCCTCAAGTCCATTCTCTACATCTGCGTCTTTATTCCTGTCCTGCCCTTAGGTTCTTCAGAACCACTTTTATTTATTATTTTTTTTAAAGAAGATGTTGGGGGTAGGAGTTTATTAATTAATTTATTTTTACTGTGTTGGGTCTTCGTTTCTGTGTGAGGGCTTTCTCTAGTTGTGGAAAGCGGGGGGCACTCTTCATCGCGGTGCGCGGGCCTCTCACTATCGCGGCCTCTCTTGTTGCGGAGCACAGGCTCCAGACGCACAGGCTCAGTAGTTGGGCTCACGGGCCTAGTTGCTCTGTGGTATGTGGGATCTTCCCAGACCAGGGCTCGAACCCGTGTCCCCTGCATTAGCAGGCAAACTCTCAACCACTGCGCCACCAGGGAAGCCCCACTTTTATTTTTTTTTAGATTCCATATATATGTGTTAGCATACGGTATTTGTTTTTCTCTTTCTGACTTCACTCTGTGTGACAGACTCTAGGTCCATCCACCTCACTACAACTCAATTTCATTTCTTTTTATGGCCGAGTAATATTCCATTGTATATATGTGCCACACCTTCTTTATCCATTCCTCTGCTGATGGACACTTAGGTTGCTTCCATATCCTGGCTATTATAAAGAGTGCTGCAGTGAACATTGTGGTACATGACTCTTTTTGAATTATGGTTTTCTCAGGGTGTATGCCCAGTAGTGGGATTGCTGGGTCATATGGTAGTTCTATTTTTAGTTTTTTAAGGGACCTCCATACTGTTCTCCATAGTGGCTGTATCAATTTACATTCCCACCAACAGTGCAAGAGGGTTTTGCCTTCTTTTAGAAAGGATTAAACTATCTTAACTGTCCAGTAAACAGTAATACAGTTTGGCAAGTATTCTAATTAAAGCAATAATGACCAAGCATCTCAATAAAGCTCTTATTTAAAAAATGACCAAGCACACTGATCTGTGCATTTGCACCTGGATTTAGGCACTTGCACTTGGGTTTCTAGGAAGAGTGTGTGCCTGAAAGATCAACGCTGAGCAAGTCGCTTTCTATACGTTTCACTCAGTCACCACAAAACTTCAATATAACTATTATTAGATGCCTTTGACCGTGGAGGAAAGGAGGGATTAAGTATTTGCCCAAGGTTACAGAGGCAGGGCTGGACTTAATCTCAGCTGTGTCTAACTCCCACTCTTAAAATGAGCTTTTGCTTTCAAAACCAAAAATGGCAGGGCCTCTATTCAAAAAGAGTTCTAACTTGAGTAATAGATGTTGGACTAGATAATTCTGACCGTGAAATTGGATGATGACCTTTGCCAACTAAAAATGGTCACTTGCCACCTGTCTCTACAACGATTAGGTCACTAGCCCTGGCAGTCACTGACCTTCAACATACCCTGAAAGGAGTTCAGGGTGGAGATCAGGAACGAGGCACTCTGTGCCCTGGAAAAAACTGGCAGAACAGGCATCAGATAGTTAGATATTTTCAGGAGAAGATTTTAGGAGCCCAGTTGCTTGCACCTTATATCCAGAAAAGCACTAAAATCATTAACAGAGACATCTGTGGCTGGTGACGAGGAGCATCCTTCCTGTGACTAGCAGCAGGCCTCTGCCAAAATGTGTGCTCGGTTGCAGCATCCCCCCTTCACACAAATCACACATACACTGACCTCCCACCAGAGCACTTCTTCAGGGCTATCTGAGAGGTGTATCCTGGGCTTTAGTCCTCATTTTGCTCCAAATAAAACTTAACTCACAACTCTAACGTTGTGTACTCTTTTCAGTCCACACCTTAAAGCCTTTTTTGAAACTTTGGCTGGATTTAATTAGTACTGCTAGCATTATTTGACAAGATGGGTACTTTGCAAATTTGGTACCTCTGGTAAACTCTGATAGCTCTGATAATTGAATACTTGTGCTACTTTTAAAAGATTAATAGATTCAAGGACCTGCAAACGGTCTACTTCTAAGAGTTAAAAACTGAGGTGAAATTTACAAGCAGTGAAATACACAGATCTTAAGTTGGATGTTTTGACAAATGCGTAATAAATCCATGTGATTCACACCCCAACCAATAGAATGTATCATCATCTTCCAAAGTTTACTGGGGCCTCTTTCCAATCACCTGCTCCTCAGGGGCCACCAAATCTGTGCTACGATTTCTGTTCCCACACATTGGTATGTTAATGGTAAACTGTATTGCACTTTGCAGCCTATTCAAAAACAAGCACGGCTGCTAAGGTGGAACTCTATCCTCTCGTATTCTTTTAAAAACACAACTTTAACACTTCTGGATTAGAGTTTTAAAACTATGTTAAATTAAATAACCACTTCTGGCTCCTGAGAAAGAAAAACGAAGATGCACTTTACCTGAACTGTTCTCTTTTGAACCTCTTCAGTGACATTCGGGAAACAAAGTTTACAGCCCACCTGTTATACCACTTCCATGCCTGACTTGTGGTCCCCCAGAAGACAATGACACGGGGGCGGAGGGGGGAGAAGTGATGGATCGGAAATGCCGGGAGAATGCCGGCTTGCCCTTAAACCCGGCTCCCGCCTGCGGGCAGTGGGTGTGCGTGGCTGGCATCCGCGTCCCCTCCCCGCGGGCCCTCCCCGGCCGCGCGTTTCCTGCCGGGTTTCCCGTCCAGTAGCGGGCCAGCCGGGCGCGGGCAGGGAAGGATGCGCTGCCCAGAGCGGGCGGGGCGGCCCTCGCAGGCTCCCGGAGCCCCCTCCACCCCCGCCCGCCGGGTGCCGCCCTCCTCGCGCCGTCGGGGGCGGACCCGGGCGGGGCTGCGGGAGCGGCGCGCGGGGGGCGGGGGGCGCAGTCCCGGGACGCGGGATGCTCGGTACGCTGCCTCATCGCGGCCCAGGCCACTCGCCTACCTCGCCACCTCGCCACCTCGCCCGCCGGTCCCAGAGGTAAGAAGAGCGTTCCGGAAGCGACCCGGCGGGAGCTCCCGCCGCGGGGTCCCCGGCGGCTCCCGGGACCCTTCCGCCCCACCCTCCCGGCCGCCGGAAAGCACTGGTGGACGGGACCGTTCTCTGCACGCACCCGGTCCCCTTCCCTCGCTCCTTGGTGCTCAGCCCCCAGGGACACGCGTTAAAAAGTGTCGTCTCCGCATCTCTGAGTCCCGATTTCAACCTGAACTCGGCGCTCTCCTGGCGCAGGTGTGACCGAGTGTCTGAGGCTGACCGTAGATTGATGGGTGTTGAGTCCGAATAGTTGGGACCCTTGAAGAACAGCTTCTGGGAGACTCTGCGTTTCAGAACAGGTTTGCTTCTTTCCATAAAGAAATCCTTACTGGGATGCAAGCAGTATGAGATATGTGCCTTGCAAAACGGTCCTCATTTTAAGAGATGTTGTGCTGGGGGACACCGGCAGCCTTAGATTTCCAAGCGTAAACTTGACTCGCAGGCCTGGCGAAAGCTGAGTAGATGTGGGGAGTGCACAGCTGAGTAGATGTGGGGAAGCAGCATCCAGCCCGTGGGACCAGGCATATATTCGCCGATTGGCCCGAATATATAAATACAGCCCGTTTACACGAGCCGTTTTGGAATTAGCGATTTCCTCCTAATAAATATTACTGTTAGATATACACTCGAGCGTGTGCATGTTTGTCAGAACGGACAAGATCACTTTGCTTCTTTTTGTTTTTCCTTTTATTCTTTCATAAATCATTGGTCCCATGGTGTTTAGCATAATTCAGTTTCTTTTTCTGTAGCTCTGAAGACACTATAGGGGATACAGAAGCGTGTATCTTAGCTGATTTCAGCAAAAACATGGGATCTGAGCTTAGCGTGGTGCCCTTAGCCACTGAGAATATTCACAACTTCCTCCTACCCTCTAGCTGATACATTTAGAATTTGTCTATAAACGTTTATGGGTGTGAATGCTATATGGAAGTTTTAAAAAATGTGTATAAAGTATACCTAAGTTCCTATTTTCTCAAAATGATTCTCAAGCTAAACATTGTAAGTAGCCAGTTGTGGTATTGGGAACACGTGTTGGAAGAAAATATGCAAGCAAGGTTTAAAAAAAATTAAAGAAGCATGCTGTTTTCTTTAAAACAACAACAGAAACGTAGTGATTTTTTACCCGGCATTCCATTCCATTCTGGGATGCTCTGTTAACATCTTCAAATTAGTGGTTGAGCTAGTGAAAAAAAAATCAGCATTAATTTTCAAAAGCTTGAGAGCATTAAAAAAAATCCATATTATGTAAACCATATTATGGCTTATAAAATAAAGCAGCCTGTTTTCAGGTAGCCTGGATTATCCTGTAATTCCATTTCCATCCAGCTCTAAATATAGATTATGACACTATTCTGTTTTACTAGTCTTTTTCATAAGAAAGAAAATGTGTTATAAACACAAAATCAGTTGTGATTAAGAACTTCTTTAAAAAATGGTTGTCATGGGGAAGCAAGCAATTTGGGAGAAGCCAGTACAACTTCTGGGGGCCAGGGATAGCTTGTTTCTCCTTACTTCAATTACTGAGTAGCAGTGACTAAAAGGAAGCATTTTAATTGCCCTAAGTGCCCACACTTGCCTGGGAGATACGATGATGCTCACCTGCTGTCTTTGGTCAGGTTTCCCAATTCATATTCAAGGAAACGATTGGGTCAAATCCATGCCTAATTCCAACAAAACTGAATTTTCTTTTTTTTGTTGTTGGGGAGGGTGGGAGCCTTAATCATCTGCATGATTACACTTCCTATCTCTGCTTCTCTTTGAGGAAGTACAGCATTTCCTTTGCTCAACCAACTCCTACAGAAAGAAAGCTAATAGAGACACACCAATTTCCTTTCCATTGAATTTTTGATTATTTCAGTCAGTCCTCTTAATTCCCTTAATTTCTGTCTTATCCGAAGGGATGTGACGCACGTATATTTGGAATATAATATACTTATTAAAAACAGATTAACTGCATAATGGAGGGGAATGTAAACATTAAGAAAATATATATTTGTTTTATGTTTAGTACCCCATAGTTTCCTAGACTCAAGTTTCCTAAGACTCAAGTATGAAAAATACTGGCTCTTAAATGCCCCACATCTTATTCTGTTGTCTAATAGTCTGTTTATATCAAAATAAGTGCCTCTTCCCACAAATCATTCTGAACCACAGGCCATCAAGGCCTTCCCTGCCCTCCTAGGTGGTCTGGGAAGATTGCTGCATGAAATCATCCATCTCCTGATGGCATGCCAGCCAGCAGCAACAAGTACTGGAAGGCTGACAAAGATGATAGCTGTTACTTGTTTTCTCTTTAGAGTGCCCTAACCAAGGGAAGTCTGGACCACCTGGAGTTCACCTTTAATTGCAATAATCTGGGTATATATTTTTTTAAAGGTTTAATAGTTTTGATATAGCTCCTAGGCATTCAGAAATGAAGCAATCCAGAGAACACACCAATTGTGCAAGAAGGACAGTGTTCATAAACCCATTTGTGGAAGCAAGGCAGGTCTACACAGCACGATGCAAAACGAAAGTTTGGCAAAATTTTAGTCAGTCGATTAACTGGCATATTAACTATGCCAAGCACATAAATATGTGAAGATATAATATTATCCAGGTTGGCAAGGAGCTTTGATGAAATTAAGCAGAGAACAACCAACTCTCCACTTAAGGATGTGCTAGAAAGGTAAGAGACGCGGTGTTTTGCAGATAGTCTTGGTGTTGGGCAGACCTGAAAGTTCTTAGCAGGTGAGCTATAATGGAAGGAAAGGACATGTAAATTACAGATCATTTCCCTGGGGGAACAGTAATGTCCTTGCTGTTTTCTTTTCAGTATTAACTAGGCAGTTTGACTTCTTAGAATGGTTTTGTCATCTCAGGATTACTATTTTATGAATCACACTGAACAGAGCCAACGTCTTTTTGAAGTTCTAATTGCAGGTGTTTTTGAAGAAAAATTCACCATTTGGATGTGAGGAAGGACATGAGGAGACCAAAGACCTGGGATTTTGCTGATCAGAATGAAACAAATGTTGAAAGACTTTTCAAATCTATTGTTGGTGGTGCTCTGTGACTACGGTGAGTGTTGCGTGTACTTATGCTGTGGGTACCAATGAAGAAACATAAATGGAGGGTTTATAAATGCATGGATGTCGATGCCCCTACATGAAGGAGGTAGGGCAGGGACTACACTGCAGTGCCTTTTAAACTGTGATTCTTGCAACCCTGGGTTCTCTTAAGGTTCTGCGTTATTATTTCAAATTTCACTTTAAATACACTCATTTCACAAATTGGAGACAAGCATGTTGCCCTCAGTTCTCTTTGATTGATTTCCTAGTATTTCAGTATTATATGTTTAAACTTCACTCACACACACAGGAAGTGATGTTTTATATATTGGGGTTCTACATGAGATTTCACTTGACAAGAGAGTTTGCTGCTGGAATACCTTTGGAACAAATCTGAATTTCAATCCTTACCAGTTGTGTGCCTTTGTCTAGTTTCTAAATCTCTTTCTGTACCAGCAGCAATATTGAGAGGGCTGTTATGATGATAAGATAAACTCAAGAATGTGAAATACCTGAATGTCTGAGCACATAGTAGGTGCTTAATGTTAGTTTTCTTCATTCATCTTGATTCAACTAAAAATTCATTTCTCAGAGAGTTTTATGCAACTACTGAACCAGTAGATTCAACCATATAATACCCACCAGTTTTCTTTTGATGATTTCCAAGTATTTCAGACATCTAAGCAGTTGGTGGTATGAGAGTGGAAACTGTTTTCAGATTGATGAAGAAATTATTATTCAAGAGACAGAGAATCCTGGCTCATGTAATATCGGTTGGATGGACCAGAGTGTGTACTGTTACTTTTGTCCAGTGAGTCTCCTCCCTCAGTCTTTTATTTTTTAAAAGTTTATTTAAACAAGAAGACACTTGACTTGCAGAAAACCAATCTGGGATCATTTCTTTCAAAGTCCTTTATCCCTACTTAAAAATAGGTTGCTCTATATGTAACAGCCTCATTCAAAAAATTATAAAAGCTTGCTTTGTTTCATAATGATAAAGACATCAAAAATTTCCATTTAAACAGTCTGCAAGGACATTTGTTATTGTTGAGAGCAGGTTATCTTACTGCAATATAAAAATAAAAGTTGATTGAGCATAAAATAGAGCATACAAGTTGAGTACAAAGGCTACTACTGGAAAAGGAGGTATTTTCATAGACCTGGATTTTTTTTTTCTTCTCCATTTGACTTTGATCAAAATATACCGTTACCAGTTAGTGTTTTTGCTTTTTTAAAGCAACATGCTTATATTGAGACACCAGTTCCTTTAAATACAATAAAGGAATTTGGGGAGAGAGGAAATGAAAGAATGGAGAAAACTGTACTGTAGTAGTCAGGATGTGGTACAACCAAATTGTAGTTTTCTAAATGAGAGTGTATTCTTGCCTGTAAAAGCAAGCGTTTGAGAGTAAAGCAGCAAGTTCCCTCTTCAGTACACACCTCCTTTCTGCTGCTGTTGGAACCCATCCGTTGCGTCTGTTTCCTCGGTTTCCAAAGGGCCGTGTGTGTCTCTTTCATCGACAGGCTGCCCGTCAAATCAGAATCTGATCTGCCTCATCGTTGTCCCTGTCACTGACAATTCGTTAGTTAACTAAGTGCGGTGTGCCTCTCTTAAAATGCATCACAGAACCATTCTGCCCCATCAGATTCAAATGAATATGAGCTTTGTTCTCGGTCCTTTGTTCTCAGCAGTCCTTCCTGGGCTACTGTGAGTACTGGAAGCTCTTCAGCCACCTGTTCACAAAAAAGAATCAGGTCCACTCTGAACTAGCACACAAGCTGCACCGAAAGCAGCCGCCTTTGGATGAGTTGTCTCCATCCAAAAGGGAGTGTCCCTCAATTTCTGTACTGACTAAAATGAAAAAAAAAAAAAAAAACAACTTTATCCTATTAAGGTTTTCAAGCAAGTGCTTATTAAGCATTCAGGTCTATCCAAGTTTTATATATTTTATTTCACCTCATGTTAAATAAGAAATGGGTGAAGTGCTGAGCTAATTAAAACAAACCTTTATGTGCCAGTATTTTCATGTGCTGATTCTAATAATCATTTTTTTATATCTTTGAATAGTCTATTTTTAAAAATTTTTATTGGAGTATAGTTGATTTACAACGTTGTATTGGTTTCTGCTGTCCATCAAAGTGAATCATCGAATAATCACTGACTGAGTATATTTAAAGACTACCAGCCCAGACAGCATATTGTCCTTTGGACATATATGTACACATTATTATTATTATTATATTAATATAATATTATGTTATATTATCATGTATATATAAGAAGACTCATAAATTCATACTTACACATGTTGTTTTTCAAACCAAAGGGCACTGCAGTTCCTTAAATCTAGAATGTTTCTTACCCTAGTCACAGGCCAGCTGATTGTTGCATTGCCAAACTCTGTCTCCTTTGATATGTATTTGGATAGGGTTCAAAATAGAAACAGGGATTCTTGTGTGTCTGTGCTCTTCCCACTCTTTACTTCAGCTGCTCTGATGGGTCTCTTTTTAAAAAAAGATAGAATTGATCCTAACAGAGTGACACTTGTGGGCCAGTAGTCATCTGTCCTATCTAGGCCAATAGCAGTTACTGTAATGTCAGTAAAATTGCTAAGGACAAGCTTAGCTATTCCATAAATGTTCACTCTATCCCTTGAATAACCCATGCAGGATAGAATGTCAACATTTCTTATTCATCTAAAAATTTCTGCCTTGTACAAAGGAAAGGCACTGTTTCCTTTACTGGTGAAAATGCTCAAGCACTTGTCTTGAATGTCAGAAAACAGTAACTTAGAAGTTCAGTTGATCGTTGGACAACACAGGGTTTAAGTTAAGGTTAAAGGCTCTGATCTTCTGCACAGGTATAATCTATAGTCGGCCCTGTGTATCTGCTGTTCCTCTATATCTGCTGTGTGTATCTGCGGATTCAACCAACCACAGATCGTCTAGTACTGTAGTACTTACTACTGAAAAAATTTGTGTGTGTGTAAGTGAGCCTGTGCAGTTCAAGCCCATGTTGTTCAAGGGTCAACTGTATATTTAGGGTCTCCCATTTTAAGTAATCTAGAGCAGTGCGTGTTGTATCATTTAAATCAGGCTTTCTCTCATTTCACTGTAAATCCATTTTCCCCAAATACCTAAACACTTCAATATGCCTAAAATGAGAAGAGTCAAGTGTTGGATTTTTATGAGACTGGTCAGTTGTTACTCTTGCTTATTAGGTTTTCATCACTGATGTATTACCTTGTTGACTGTTGTGAATTCAGAGTATTTACCACTAATTCATTATTTTCAACAAAACCATGAAAAATGGAGATGAAGGAACAGAGCCACTTTAGAATGGAGGCAGCTCAGGACCCAGCTCCCAGAGTCAGCACTCAGCAGCATTTTGCATCATCCTCGGCTCAGTTCAAACTTCTCTTGTGTCTGAAATGCTGTTTCCATCGATGTCACCAATAGTGCTGCTCAGATATTCCCTTTAAAAAACTACTCTGACCATTTCCTTTCAGTTCTTGGAGAAGCTGAATATCTCCTTCTGGGGGAACCGGGCCATGTAGCACTAAGCAACAGGACAGTGTCTGTGGATTTCCAGTATTTGGATGGCGCCAATGGGACGCTGAGGAATGTCTCTGTCCTGCTGTTGGAGGCCAACACCAATCAGACTGTTACCACCAAATACCTCCTGACCAACCAGTCCCAGGGGACCCTCGAGTTTGAGTGCTTCTACTTCAAGGAGGCCGGTGACTACTGGTTCACGATGACTCCGGAAGCCACAGACAGCAGCCCTCCGGTCCCCTGGTGGGAGAGGAGCGCCTTTCTGAAGGTGGAATGGCCTGTCTTTCATGTTGACCTGAACAGGACATCCAAGGCAGCTGAAGGCACCTTCCAGGTGGGCCTTTTTACCAGTCAGCCGCTGTGCCTGTTCCCCGTGGACAAGCCCGGCATCTTGGTGGATGTCACCTTCACCAACAGCCTTCCGGAGGCAAGGATGAGTCAGGGCCAGCCGCTGGAGATAAGGGCTAGCAAGAGGGCAGAACTCGCTCAAGGCCAGTGGGTTGAGTTTGGCTGTGCACCTGTGGGGCCGGAAGCCTATGTCACCGTGGTGCTGAAGCTGCTCGGCGGGGACTCGGTCATTACGTCCACAGGCCCCATTGACCTGGCCCAGAAGTTTGGATATGCACTGGTGATGGCGCCAGAGCTCACCTGTGAGTCCGGGGTGGAGGTGAGGGTGCTGCCCCCGCCATGCATCTTTGTCCAAGGGGTGATCGCTGTCTTCAGGGAGGCCCCCAGACGCCCTGGGGAAAGGACCATCCGGTTGGCTGAAAACAGTCTGACCTTGGGAGAAAGGAGAACAGTATTCAACTGCACTTTGTTTGACGTGGGGAGGCATAAATACTGCTTTGACTTTGGCGTCTCAAGCAGAAGCCAGTTTTCTGCAAAGGAGAAGGAGTGCATGCTAATTCAGAGAAATATAGGTTGGTATTGAGATTTTAAAGCACATTTTTTTAAATCAAATTGGCGCCTTCATGCAATCAAATTATTATTTTGAATTTAGGTGAACTTGATTTTCTATGAACGGTACCATCATTTTTATGGTTCACTCCCCATAATGTCCCAAATGGCATTAGCATCCTTATCTGAAAAATGAAGAGTACTGGTTAACATACCCAGCGCACTCCTAACTAACTGCTCCAGGTCTTAGTTTCCCCATCAGTAAAGTGGGGATGATAAGAGTATCTACCTCAGAGAGTTGTAAGAATTGAGTGAAATTAATGTATACAGTTCTTAGCACAGTGCCTCAGGTAAGAAACAGTGATAAACGTCAGCTATTATTACATTGTATTTTATTTGTTTGTTTGTTAATTTAATTTTTATTTTATATTGGAGTATAGTTGATTTACAATATTGTGTTAGTTTCAGGTATACAGCAAAATGAGTCAGTTAGACATATATATATATATATATATATATCGCCATTCTTTTTTCAGATTCTTTTCACGTATAGGTTATTACAGAATATTGAGTAGAGTTCCCTGTGCTATACAGTAGGTCCTTGTTGATTATCTATTTTATATATAGTAGTAGGTATATGTTAATACCAAACTCCTAATTTATTCTTCTCCCACCCCGACCTTTCCCCTTTGGTAACCTTAAGTTGGTTTTCGAAGTCTGTGAATCTGTTTCTGTTTTGTAAATAAGTTCATTTGTATCATTTTTTAGATTCCACATATAAAATGATATCATATGATATTTGTCTTTCTCTGCCTGACTTACTTCACTTAGTGTGATCATCTCTAGGTCCATCCATGTTGCTGCGAATGGCATTATTTCATTCTTTTTTGTGGCTGGGTAATATTCCATTGTATATATGTACCACATCTTCTTTATCCATTCCTCTGTCGATGGACGTTTAGGTTGCTTCCATGTCTTGGCTACTGTAAATAGTGCTGTCATGAGCATTGGGGTGCATGTATCTTTTCGAATTATGGTTTTCTCTGGATATATGCCCAGGAATGGGATTGCTGGATCATATAGTAGCTCTGTTTTTAGTTTTTTAAGAAGCTTCCATACTGTTCTCCATAGTGGTTGTACCAATTTACATTCCCACCAACAGTGCAAGAGGGGTCCCTTTTCTCCACACCCTCTCAGCATTTATTGTTTGTAGACTTTTTGATGATGGCCATTCTGACTGGTGTGAGGTGATAACTCGTTGTAGTTTTGATTTGCTGTTCTCTAATAACTAGTGATGTTGAGCATCTTTTCATGTGCTTTTTGGCCATCTGTATGTCTTCTTTGGAAAATTTCTATTTAGATCTTCTGCCCAGTTTTTATTGATTTGTTTGTGTGTTTTGATATTGAGCTGTATGAGCTGTTTGTACAGTTTGGAGTTGGTCGCTTCGTTTGCAAATATTTTCTCCCATTCTGTGGGTTGTTTATTCGTTTTGTTTATGGTTTCCTTTGCTGTGCGAAAGCTTTTAAGTTTAATTCGGTCCCTTTTGTTTGTTTTTGTTTTTATTTTCATTACTCTAGGAGGTGGATCCAAGAGGATATCGCTACGATTTATGTCAGAGTGTTCCGCCTATGCTTTCCTCTAAGAGTTTTATAGTATTCAGCCTTACATTTAAGTCTTTAATCCATTTTGAGTTTATTTTTGTGTATGGTGTTAGAGAATGTTCTAATTTCATTCTTTTGCATGTATTTAAAAATTCTGTTATTACATCATATGGCAAGTCCATGGCAGGTATGATCAGAATTCAAAGCTAAATCCCAAATTGTACTTAGTAGCTTTTCACTTCCTCTAGAACGTCCTCAAGCATGTCTCTTTCCTCTTACCTCCTTCATTTTAAGAACGAAGCCTCTTTAGTGAGAGTTCAAAGCAAGATTTCTAAAAACTTCTTTTTTTTTTTTTTTTTTGAGGTACGCGGGCCTCGCACTGCCGTGGCCTCTCCCGCTGCGGAGCACAGGCTCCGGACGCGCAGGCGCAGCGGCCATGGCTCACGGGCCCAGCCGCTCCGCGGCATGTGGGATCCTCCCGGACCGGGGCACGAACCCGTGTCCCCTGCATCGGCAGGCGGACTCCCAACCACTGCGCCACCAGGGAAGCCCCTAAAAACTTCTTTAAATTTTGAATTCTCTGCATAACGCCCTCCCTAATCACAAAGAAGTGGGGTTATTACAATTCCATCCATGCCCCAGGCTCCTCTCTGCGTTTCTTTCCCTTTTCCTGGGTGCGAGCCTGGCCCTGGCAAGAGGTTAATCTGGCAGGGATTGTCCTGATCGTTTACACGTGCTCTTATTTCCGTCCCCGCTAAGCCTGTGCTCCCTGACGGCCCCAGCCTCTGAGCAGCCTCAGTGCCCCACGTGTTTCTTGCTCCAAATTCACTCACTCCTCCTTAGAAGTCCCTTTCCTTTGACTCTCTCCCCACCCACTGGCCACTTCCCTGCTTGCACTTACCTCTGCCTCCAGCCTAGATTCCGTGGCCCATCCCCTTAATCACTCTCCGACCAATACCCTAAACGCCTCTGCCCCCTGTCCTTCTGCACCCAGCCACCCCCCGGCTCTGCGTGAATCCAGCCATCTGCCGGCCGCCCACGGCACCCGGGCAGGCCGGGCCTCCACCCTTCCCTGGGCCCACCGTGCTGCCCACCATGCTACTCACTGTGCTCCTACCCTGCACAGCAGCTCTTGCGGCCCTCTTCTGCTCTCCTCCGACCTCACCCGCGCCCCTGCCTAACTCTCTGAGCTGACTTGCTCCTGCCACACAGAGCAGCGGGAAGCCATCAGGTGCGAGCTCCCTCACCCTCCCACCAAAATATCCGTAAGCCTGCAGGCAGCCATCCCACAATCTCCCCCTCCTTTGCTGTCCCCAGGGAAGCAGTGTCATTCCTCCAGTACAAGGTCAACCCTCCCCTCCACTGGGGGTCCCAGCCCCTCTGCTCTATCAGGAACCTTCTGTTAATCATTATTCCCCTATCTCCTCCGCCTCTAACTGTCCCTTCTTTACTGGTTCATTCCCATCAACTTCGAAATGTACTTAATTGTCTCATCTAAACACGAAACAAAGTCACCCCTCATCGCCTGGTTCTCCCCCAGAGCACAACCTGTTTCTCTCGTCTTCCTTTTATAGCCCCGGTTCTTGAAAAACCCACCTGTACTTTGGGGTTTATTTCCTCACCCCCATTCACTTTTCAACCCACTCCAAACCCGTACCCCTCCCCTGCAAATGCTCTCACTAAAGCAGCCAGCGAATGACTTCCAGGTCCCAAACTCTGGGGATGCTTTCCAGTCCGTATCTTCGTTGACCTTGATTCTGTGACATTACACTTGCCTTGTTTACCTCCTACCTCCCTGGCTGTTCCTTCCAGGTCTCCTTTGCCGGCTGGTTCCATGACCCCATCGCATCCCTTAAGGCTTGGACTTCTGCATCCTATACTAGAACCTCAGCATTTTTCACTCTTCACACACTCACTAGGTGATTACTGTCCTGATGCTGGTGACTCCATGCTGGTATCTCTCCCCCACATCCAAGTGCTGAATAGCTGTCACCCCCCAGATGTCTCCCAGGCACCTCAAAAGCAGCATACCTGGAACTGGACTCATCATCTCACCCCCTAAACCTGCTCCTCAGTACAGGACTCCACCTCGTCTCATTGTTCAAACCCCAGACCCAGGAGGCTTCCTCTTCTTCACTTCCTATGAATAAATCACTAGGTCCTATGGATTTTGTCTCTTTAAAAAGTCTGTGTCTCAATCTCTGCACGTTTCTCCATTTCCACTGATACCGCATGGTTCCCTCCCTCCGTCCATTTCATTCTCTCAAGGCAAGCCAGAGAGGGACTGTTGAAAATTCAGGTCAGCTGAGGCTATTCCCTTGCTGAAAACTTATCAGTCACCTCACTTGACACGTCACTCTTATGAGGATGGGCATCCACAGATGGGCTGGAGACTGGGCAACCCTCCTCCCACCTTCACTTGATTAACATTAACCCGTCCCCCAAGTCTCCTGGATGACTCTTCCTCAACCCCAGACTAGGTAAACTCCCCACTGTACGCTGGCCCAGCATCCTTAGTTCCTCTTTCATGGCATTTATCACTTCTGTCATTGCTTGTTCAGGGTCTTTCTCCCCACGTTTCTTCCCTCCCCCACCATGCCCCCAGATTGGAGAAGCTCATTTGGCGACAGAAGCCGACTTGGGCTGCCAGGAAGCTATTTATGATCCTTATTTGGCCCGCTTTGTACACCTGCCACATTAATAGATACTCAGTACATGTTTATTAAAGTGAAAATTGCACTCTGATGTCTCAGCTAGGTATCAGTAGAAAAACAATTATGTTAAACTAATCATTCAAGATATGCTTGCCATTTCAAAAAGAATTTATTGCTTAGAGGGAAAAAAAATTCTAATTGACTGAATTTAGTGGAAACAAACCAAGGGGAGTAAAGGAATTCGGGCCACGTGATGAAAGACCTTGGGAGCAGGAGGTCTTTGTGTTGGTTCTCCCTGGGAAGGGGCAGAACAGGGAGTGATGCTCTGTGTCTAGGCTGAGGGTGCTCAGGGCTCCCTGTGGGGCTGCAGCAACTAGACACGACCAGGCAGTAGGGCTGGAAGCAGTACCTCGAGGGGCTAAGCATTCCTGGAGACCCCAGATTCTCTGTGTGGCCGCCCAACAGGGACTCTGGTTAATCAGTGAAATTGATGCCAGTGGTGGGAAACTCAGTGCCTTTGTGTTTTTAGTATAAAAGTTTATAACTAAATCGAGTTCTTTTCATTTTCCATTAAAATTGACAGCTCTGACCAGTAAAGACTGGTTTTTTTTTGCCAAATGGCATCATTCAGGAACCCCATTGAACCTACCATGAGGTGTGACCCACCGACTCACAATGAATTTCTCATTAGTTCCTTTTGGAAGGGGAATAAAGGGTTTGATATGTTTGTCTCTTTTTCCAAATGTGTCTTAGGACCTTAAAACTGT